CCTGGTACATAGGAGCATTGTTGTGAGAATTAAATGAAATCATCTGAGACAAGTGTTTAGAACAGGGCCTCCTAGAAGACACTCAATGAATGTAATTAAGATAGCAGTGCCAGTGTCAACCCCAGCAGTGGTGACATTTGGGGCTGGATCATATTTTGATGTTGGAGACTGTCCTGTGCCTTGTAGGATGTTTAGCAGCAGCCCTGGCCTCTACTAGTGAGACAGATGTCTGTGGCACCCTCCCTGAGTTGTGAAAATGAAAACATCTCTCTAGACATCTCAGTGACCCGCAGCTGAGAACCATGGTTTTACAGGAAAACAGTGGAAAGTCCACGAGGGCTCCTCTCCCTGCTGCAGCCCAGCTGGTGAGGCTGGGGTCTTCTCTACCCGTCACCTGCTGAGGTGGCCCCCAAACACCAGCTCCAAGTCATCAGTGGAAGCACCGAATTCCTGGGCATGGCAAGTTAGGAGTGGCCAGGGGGAAGTTTCCTGGAGTGTGGAAGAGCTTCGGGGGTCTCTGAACATAGCGGTGAGGAAAGTGGTGGAGGACGGAGCACAGTCAAATAATGTGGTTTCTCACTTGCTTCCCACTGACCTACTGCACCAGGTGCCAAAAGATGCCAGGGCAGGGTCTTCCTTTCCTAGAGCAGAGTGTGGCCTCTCTCCTCTCCTCTCATCTTCACCTCTGGCCAATAAGAAGGAGGTGGGCCATGGGGACCAGGCTGAGGGAGTGCTGCCGTGGGGAGGCACCCCATGAGCACAGGCCGCTGTCTGAGCATCACTGGGACACAGGGCTGGGAGAGATTGAACTGGGTTTGTCCCCAAACCCTTCCTGCTGCCTTGACCATGAATAAAGCCCCCCATTCTGTTTTCTCTTCACCTATATTCCCCCATTTATCCTTCATGGATGAAATGCATTTGGTATAGACCAAATTCTTCTTGTATGTCTAGCACTGTATTAGGATCATATGGGTGTTTTTATTTGTTTTTGAGAGATTCTTTTTCAAGGAGAGAGTAAGGAAGATGCTAAATGAATATATCAGTAGAAGGCAAGATCCAGTTGGAAAATTATCACGTGTCCAGTTGGAAAAATAACACATGTTCCTACACATAGCCACAAAGCCACTCAAACCACACATAAATGCTGAGGGAATGTGGAATAAAACACAGTTGCTTAAAATTTTCAACAAATGGACTGCATTAATGGATGTTAAAAAGGCAGAAGGAAAACCACAATCTAATCACATGTCTAGGCTGGCATTGACCTCCAAGGGTCAAAGGGCACATTTAATAGAAAGGCCTCTTTTTCCAACTGGAATAAATCTGACCTTTCCTCAATCAAACCGATTCTAAGTTTTCCAGCAATTTATGGGCAGTATCCATTTCTTTCTTTCCTGTCAGAGGAGCAGTGCCTGATACTAGAAACCACTTAAAAGCCACGCCCTTCCAGGTCTGTGAGGGTAGGAACAGTCATGGACTGTCACTCATCCAAAAACCAGAGAAGCCAACAAGCCCCTTTCCCACATCCTCCAAAGGCGAACGCAAGAGCCAAGCCAGGTTATCTCTATTAAACGTCTGTTAGGGCGGCAAAGTTGGCCAAGGAGAATGGATCAGCTTCAAGGGTCACTCCCGACCGGAGAAGCCCGGGGTGGGGCGGGTATGTTGGGGGAGGAGACACACTTATCTGTTTATCTATTAATTTATTTAAGTAGATCGAGGATTTGGAGATGGAAAATAAACAATTGTTACACAGTAAATATAAGCAGTCATCACAAAACACAAAACGACACCCAGAATCAACCGCTGTAGGAAAGACATTTCCCCGCCTGCTGTATTCGGGTCAGTTAAGAAGGCGGGGGCATCAGACAGAACTCAAATTGGTCTTGTTGAGCCTGCAGCCTGAACGCTCAGAGGCGTGAGCTGGGCAGTCGCTTTCCCAGGTCCCATCATCCCTTCCAACCCAGACCATTCTGAGAGGGAGGATTGGAGTTACAGGTGTGTGAGCACCAGAGCGCGAGGGGAGCCGCTTGGAATGTAAGAGCTCCTGCCTGCTGGGGATGGGGAGGAGTCGTCGATGGCCTCGGGATCCCTGCCCAGACATTTCCAGAGGCGCGGCGGCTGGTTCAGCGCCCCGCCGTCACCGCGCAAACGCTGCATCCCTTGGGGTCCTGGGGCGAAGCCACTTCCTTAAAGCGCGCGCAGAGCCAGGATAGAGTTTCCCAATTGTCACACGAAGGACCGTCCCCCCGAGGTTCCTCCATTAACAGATCCCCCATCTTGACCACCGCAGTGGCCCCACTAAAGCGCCAACACATTTCAAAATGGAGCGAAATCGCAGAAGCGAGGACTGCGCTTTGTTCCCAGCGCTGAGCTAAACGCGCTCACCCTCACCGGTCTCCCTTCCCTCCAACGACGGGAGGTGACGCCTCTGCTCGAGAGAGGGCAACAGGCAGCTGTGACTGCGGGCTCCCTTTTTCCAGGGCCGCCCCAAGACCCTCGCTCCATCTGGAAAGAGAATCCCGCGCCCAGCTCTGTCTGGGGGCGAGGGAGGAGAGGAGATGCTTGAATCGGTCCCTAGCCGCTCTGCAACCCCTCGCGGCGGGCCCAGCCACGCAGGGAGCCTCGTAGCAACCTGGCTCCAGCCCTCGACGCCACAGTCGAGGAGGGTCGGCTTGGTCCTGGGCGGGCTCTCGTCCCCCCAAGCCAAGCCATTCCTCAGAAATTCAGATCAACCTGGGCGGCCCGCGTGGAGGATTCAGCCCCTAGATGCTCATTCGTTTCAGAAGTGCGCCCCCCGCACCAGTTTTCAGGGATATAATTAGCCAGAAAACCGCACGTACCAGGTTCATCACAGGAGGGCGAGGCTCATATTCGTTGGCCAGGAGTTCCCCCTGCTGCCCCAGACTCGGTTTTGGGGGTACGGTGAACTTGGACTCGGGTGAAAATCCCGCATTTCAGATAAATAATATTAACCAGTACAGCCATAATATTAATAAAAATACACCCTGGGCCACCTATCTGCGTGTCTGAGGCCGCCAGGGGCCAATTAGAGCCATAGGCGCAGGGAATTGGGGGCTTCCTCCTGTGTCCTCCAGGAGGCTGACTGGGCGCAGCCCCGCCTACCCCAGGGTCCCCAATCTCCTTGGGGAAGGGGTGGGGCCAGCCCCAAGGTCTCCTCTCCAGACGCCTGTGGTTCCTATGGCAATGCCCCGTCCGCGCCCCCTCAAGTGGGCTCAGAAAGATGGGTGTGGCCGCAGCATCAGGCACCTTATGTCCCCCTCCTCACATTCTCCCGCCAGGCGAAGCAACAGGGCGTAAAGCTGGAGGGGCCCCGCCGGGGCTCCCCACCCATCCCGGATGGGTAGCCAGCATCCCTCGCTGGCCAACCTGATGTGGGGTGGTCCTCAGGACACTAGGAGTATAGGGAGGGGCGTGATCCCACTACCACCGCCAGCAGTGCGCGAAGAGACTCGAATCCCACCCCTTCAGAAGCTTCCTGGCGCCGACAGACTCCGAGACGAGGCTGCGCGCAGTCACGCCCGTTCCAGGCGTGCCGGGGGCCTGGGGTTGACTCAGGTTCATCTACCCCAGCAAGCCTGGAGATCCAACAATGGGCTTGGAAATGAGGAGCGAAAAAAGGAGAGAGGTGTGTCGGGGTAGGAGGGAGGTTGTCTAAACACCCTCAGAATAAAAGCCAGAAACCAGGACTGAGAGCGCAGATCACGTAACCTCTACAGACAAAGCAAAGAGCCCCTGAAGGAGGTGCTGGGTGAACGCTCCCAGTGCTCATGCCCGCAGCAGCAAAACGCCAAGATTTTAGGGCCGACTGTCCCCCTCCCTTTAATGCCAGGCCCCGCCCTGTCCTCCAAAGCCTGGCCACCCGGTTTGGCATGGCACCATAAAGACGTGACACGCCGAAAAAAGATGGCACCTCGCGTTCCGAGGGGAAAAAAACGAGGATGGGGGCGGGAGTGGGAGGAGGCACAGACTATCCTCCCCCTTCCTCGCCCACCAGGTCCACACCCACTGCCGCAGTGAGGGGCGAGCCCTGCGCGTGAGCCCCGTGCCTCCGGCAGGGAGCGCACACGCCGGGAGCCCGGCGTGTCGAGCGCTGAGAAAGAAACCCGCCCCGAGATGCACCTGCAGCCCCTGCGCCCATCAGTGCAAGGCCGCAGCTGTGCCTGCCCGCGAGCGGGGATCGGCGACCGCCGAGTCCATCCGTGCCGCCAGGCCAGGTGACCCCTGCCTCTGCGAGCGTGTATACTGGGAGCCGCGCACTGCTCTCAGGAACGTCGCTGCTGGTGTCTCTGTGCCAGGCGTGCGCAGGGGGAAGGGCAGCTAAAGTGACAGCGCCTGGACCCCTCCTCATCTCCTCGATTCCTCCCAGCCCCCAAATGTCCCCTACGGGTTTCTGAAGGAGGAAATGGGGAGGGGGTCGGCCGCCATCTAAAAGCAGGGGCAGTGAAGGCCCTGTCGGAACCACCGCTCGGGAGGGGCAGGGAGGGGCATGCAGGGAATCATCTTTTCTAGAACCGGATCCGCATCTTCTTTAGGGCTGGCGGCGAAAAGCGGCAGGGACAGTGGATTTCAGGTTTGGTTTTGGGGGGTCGTTATTGGACCCCCTACACACACACACACACACACACACGCCCATTGCGGCGAGAGGCTGCGATCGAGAGTGAAGAGTAGCCCCCTCCCCCAAGTCAACGCCGCCGGGCCCCACCCTGCGAGCACAGCTTCCACCTGGGGTCGGCGCGAAGCGGGAGGTGCGGACCCTCCAGCACACACACTCCCGCGTGCATGCATCCCTTGCTCACGTCCCTTTCCAGGCCACCCTGGCCCCAGCCCCCGAGCAGCGGGAGCAGGGAGGGGCCCTGCGGTAGCCCCGACCGATGCCCGGCGCAAGAAGCCCGCGTCTGCGGCTGGGGAGGGCGAGGGGCGGCGGCGCGGGGGTGCGCAGGGGTGGACGGAGAGGCAGATTTCGGAGCCTCGGCGCTTACCTGATAGTCCACAGAGGCGAGGACGCGAGAGGACAGCGGAGGAGGAGAAGGTGGCTGTGGTGGCGGCGGCAGAAGGTGGGCGGTGGCAGCGGCGCTGCTGCTGGTGCCGGAGCTGGTGGGTGGCGGTGACTGCGAGGGCGCGCGCCGGTGAGAGGGCGCGTTCCCGAGGCCGGCGGGCGGCGCAGGCGCGAGCAGCGGGAGCACGAGCCTCCCCCGGGGAGGGGGCGGGCACCGTCCGCGGGCGCCTTCTCCTCCGGCCACCAGTAGGCGCGCGCGAGCGCCCCACCGCTCGGCCGTCCTGCGCCTACCGGCTCTCTCCTCTCGGCGCTGCCCTTTCCCGATCCTCTTCCCGCTACGCCTCAGGCCGCGGTGCTGACCGCAGCGCGCACGCGTGTTCCATGGCGCACGCGCACTCTCCGCCTCTTGTTGCTGTCGCCTTTGTCTCGTCGGAGGGGTCCCCTTTTTCGAGCCCTGAGGGGTCGGGGCAAGGCCAGGGGCTCCGCCCGTGGGTCTGCTGCCCCTTTCCTTTCAGCCAGCCTGGGGGGGTGTCCTCTTCTGGCGAGGTCCTGAGCGGGCTTCCACGTGGCCGGCCCCCCAGTCCGTCCACCCGACCCTTCGGGACCCGAAACCTCTCCCTGGCTGAGGTCGCTTTCCCCCGGGCTGCTTGCTTTCTCCTTGCTCTTTTCCCACCTTTTTTGTTACTGACCAAGGTGAAATTTCCTTAACAAATCCACTTAAAGCTAGCTAATCCAGTTACAGTGCAGTAGAACTGTACTTTTAAAGAAAGCATTTGAATCTGTGATGTATCTAACCGTGACGCTAGAAACAAAAAATCGTAAATAAGACGAAATTCAAAGAGTGCCTAGCACATCGCAGAGCATTTGCACACTCACAGTTACTTGTATCCTGTCTTTTGAAACACCTTCACCCTGTAAGTAGAGCTTGAAGTCTGAATGTTTAAGGGCCGGCTAGAGATTGTCCCCTGGAATATGCACCTCAACTTGAAACTGAGGTGGTCCTCATTCTGCTGGTCACTCAGGACCCAGGCTTTGGCCTTAGCTTGCAGTTTTCATTTCCCCAACGTCAAATTTAAGCACTGGCAGTGGGAGGATTTCTATGTATGGGGGTTTAGGGCAGCCATCTCCTCCTAGGGAGATGGGAGGTTGTCTTGAAGCACCAATTTGCATAGCTCTTAAAAACCAACATATGTTATCGATTAATAGAATAAGCAAGTAAAATGCTTTATTCACACTGAGTTTTTGGAACTGACCTTTTTTTTTTTTTTTTTTTTTTTAATCCATATAAACTTTATTTTTAAACAGAGGGGCATATACCCAAAAAATTCGGGCTGAGAACCATCGTGAGAGCTTGCTCAAAGTGATCTGCCCTTCAGCTCTGACTTCAGAATGTCTCATGAGCCAAAGGCCTGGGGATGGAGCTTCTCCTTAATGGTGTACACCTTAGAAAGGTCAATGAAATTGACCTTTTCTTGGGACAAGGTCTTGCTCAGGCTGGAGTGCAGTGGCACAATCATAGCTTACTGCAAGCTTGAACTCCTGGACTCAAGCGATCTTAAATACTATACTATTATACTATTATAAATACTAGTTATTTATTTCATTATCATCTTTGTAATCAATGCTTTTGCTACACATTTTATTTCTATATTAAAATAAACTGTAGCAGTCAAATCAACACTCCTCTACTTTCAAATTTCACATTATTCCCCCCTCTAAGATAACAGTATAATTGAGAACTGACAGGGACCTAATGACACTGTGGTCCCCAGACACTGAATGGTCCCATTTGCCTAAAATGAAATAACGAATGTTAGAAACAATATTAAGCAGACCTGTCATTTTAACTGTATGTGATGCAGAGTTGAATGTTCATTCTAGGTAATTCAGTCACTGCAGGTAACTAATGGCTCACACTAATTCAGGCCAAGAAAATGCATTCCCTCTCTTTCTTCCTGTTCCTTCCTCTTGCTGAAATAGAAATCTCATGGTTGCATATGTTACACAAACAAGCCCACTTATGTAGGACCACAGAAGGCAGAATAGCAGAGGGGGAAAGAAAACTGGATTGAGTGCCAGGAGAGTTGGGTCCTCATCCTAGCCACCTTGTATGACCACAGACAAATTCATTCATTACCTTCTCTGGGCTTTCAGTTTCTTTATTTGATGGCGTTCCAGATGGGGTTAGGACTGAGATCCATGTATCTGTAGAATTCGGAGATTCTGCCACTAAATCTAAATCTATCAACAAAGCAAGCTAAACTGTTGTAATAAATAGGCCCCAAAACATAATGGTTCAAACCAACTCCTCCAGCAGTCTTGGGTGAGTGTTCCAGGTCGGTAGCCAGCCATCTCCGTGGAAGTTTTGGGACTCAGGCTCCTTCCATTTGCGGCTGCATCAGCCCTTAGGGACTTGTTGCATATACCAGCAAGAAGCTGGGAAGGATGTGGGACTGAGTATGGAGGGTGGTTGATCAAGGTGACCGGAACATGAGATTGGTTAAGGGGGACTGTGTTGATTTGGGAGCATTCTATCCCATAATACACAATTTAACATCCTGACAAAGATTCTCAGAGATTCTGTGAGCTCACTCTTAGAAGCATGAAAACAATAAAGGCCTGTACTAAATGGTGTAGAAAAGCCATTTCCCTGGTGGACAGTAGAGGAAGGTGTTACAAGATCAAGGGCAGTAGCCTGCTGGAGTAGACACACTGCAGAAAGTCCAGAAAACCCACCCAATGAACATGTGCCATAGGGAGGTGCAGAGGACAACCATTCTGAGGACATCAGAATGTCCTCATGGGAGGGATGCCAGCATCAATAAAAAATATAGGCTGGGTAGGGTGGCTCACACCTGTAATCTCAACACTTTGGGAGGCCAAGGTGGGAAGATCACTTGAGTCCAGGAGTTTGAGACTAACCTGGGCAATGTGGCAAAACCCTGTCTCTACAAAAAATACAAAAATTAATCAGGCCTGGTGCCACATACCTGTAGTCCCAGCTACTCAGGAGGCTGAGGCGGGACGATTGCTTGGGCCTGGGAGTCCGAGGCTGCAATGAGCCAAGATCACACTTACTGCACTCCAGCCTGGGAGAAAGAGCAAGACCCTGTCTCATGAATAAATAAATAAAGTAAATAAGTAAGTAAATAAATAAATAAATAAATTCAGACTTAGCCCTCCTCTATAGGCCAATACTGGATGGGAGAGGTTCTTATAGAATTAGGCTTACTGATAGCAGAGAGAATGACAGAACCCAAAACAACAGGTGGTTTGGCCCTTAACTCTCTGTGTAGGTATGGGGGTAATTTTTCCTGGCTGCAACCTTGTGCTTATCTCTGGAGGATCCTGGAGCCATAGTGCTGACCCTTGATCCATGCAGAATGGAATTTGCAAACCAGTTGTCAGTGTAATTCTGTACCGAGTCCAAAAAATACTACAGATATTCTGTACCAACTTGTCACCGTTGTTTAGTGAAAATGTACAAATTGATTATCTGCACCTGGTTTCTGTTAGGTTATCTTAGTGGAGCCTGATCGTGCAAGCTGGTTTTGGCTATGTGACCAGAAGGATATTAAAGACCACCTTAGCTGAGATTGTGATTTGCCTGAGACCAAGGCATTTTGCATGTATCTTGGTGGTTTATCATCCTAAGATCAAGTACATCCTGTGTGCCTGAAAGGAAGATGCACCAGGATGTCGTGGACAGCTCTGGCATCTGCCTTTATCCTGCGATATTATTTTCTTTAGTTTTATGAAAGCCCTATGTGAGTGTACTTTCTGGAGTCTTGTGATTCCTTTCACCATCTGCGGAGGCACAACTCGTGCACCATCAGAAGCCAGGCAAATGCACTGATCATAGTAACAGGCTTGGTTGGAGTGGCAGCCCAGGAGCCTGCTCTACAGTTATGGAAGTGGGGAACAGAGCACAGAGTCCATGGAGCAAAAGAGATGGGAGACTAAAAGGGGAACTGCTCACCCTGCACCATCAGAATAAATCATGATAAGTGATCGGGAAGCTAAGGCAGACACCCCAGTAAAAAGTCACGCTCCATTGCCAAGTTTTCAGACCTGAGGCAGTTTTCAGATCCAGAACCAGCTGACTGAAAAGAAGCCTGGCTCCTCATTAAGAAGGATTGTTCGGCACCATGGCAAATGGGGAAAGAGGAATAGCCAAATATTCTGAGGACTGTGAGACACAGTGTCTGAGTTGGCACTGATAACCAGAGACCTGAAGTATCATCATGGCCTTCATTAGAATGGAAGCATATGGAGAGCCGGCAATAATCGGAGTCCTGGCCAAGGTCTGGCTGACAATGAGTCCACTGGGTCCACAGACCTCATCCAGTCATCACCTCCATCTTCCCACATGAAAAATAGCGATAGAAATATTTGCCCCCCACCTGATCTACAGGTGGAGTGACAGCCCAGGAGCTTGATCTACAGAGAGTTGTGGAAGTGGGTAATAAAACACAGAGTCCCTGAGGGCAAAGAGAGATGGGAGACCAGAAAGGGGACTGCTCAACCTGCACCATCAAAAGAAACCAAAAATGAATGATTCCTGGAGTGTGTGTGATCCTTTCCTATACACATGCTGAATTGACTTGTGGAGTAAGAGCTGTAGTAGTCGAGAAGCCTCCAAACAGTCCCCTTCCACCCCAGGTCAACATAATAAATCAGAAACAGTATTGCATCCTGGGATGAAAGAGCTGAGGAGATTAATGCCACCCTTAGGGACCCGAAGGATGCAAGGGTAATAGTTACCGTCATATCTCTAGTATGGCTCATGTAGGAGAAGAGGTATTCTTTTTTTTTTTTTTCTTGAGATGGAGCCTTGCTCTGTCACCAGGCTGGAGTGCAGTGGCATGATCTCTGCTCAGTGCAACCTCTGACTCCCTGGTTCAGGCGATTTTCCTGCCTCAGCCTCCTGAACAGCTGGGATTACAGGCATGTGCCACCATGCCCAGCTAATTTTTGTACTTTTAGTGGAGATGGGGTTTCACTATCTTGGCCAGGACGGTATCAATTTCCTGACCTCATGATCCACCTGCCTTGGCCTCCGTAAGTGCTGGGACTACAGGCGTGAGCCACTGCACCGGCTGAGGAATTCTATGGAATTACACTAAACTACTGGAAACAATGGAGCGTAGCCCCCATTGCACCTGCCATGCCAGATATAGTATCTTTGCTAGAATAACAGTTTCAGACACATAGTGTGTGGCCATTGTTAAGAGAATTCATTCTTTTCTCTCCCTATCTGAAAAGAGGATTCAAAATAGTTCACATTCACATGGAATGGTCAGCAGTATACATTTACAATTTCCCCTCA